ATTTATCCCAGTAGAAATACCTAGGATCAATAGGACTAGGAGCTGGCAGCGTTCCAACTACAGTCACCATCTTGTTCTTGGACCTTAGAGCCATTTCCATGGCTCTCGCCCATGGATGGAAGTTTGATCGGCCTTCCAATTGGACTGTGACTAACTGCATCGACGAACTCTCGTTAGGGTGAAGATATAGGGGATCGGTGCGATCCTTTGGATCAAAGGCAACTGGATTTGCAGTAGGAACTGCAGCTGGAGTCGGAATAGGGATTGGGTTCACTGGAGGCATTCCCGGATTCGAAGTCATCGAAGAATGAACCATATTCACCGTCGGTGTACGCCAGGCCATGATCGGGCTCTGATACCATATCAAGAAACACACAGAGGTGGTTTACAGAGAGGTAAGAAAGAAGAGAACTAATCTGTTATTCATCATCATCTATCAATACAAAGATCAAAGCATATATGCTTGCCAGTAGCTATAACAGACAGGCCGTTATGTTAGTTACACTTGGGAAGAGACTAGAGAAATAAATCTGTTAAATAAAGGGACACTTGAGCTGCTGTCTTCTGTATGTGTTGACACTCTTGAGCCGCTATATTCTGTATGTGTTGACAAGACTGGCGAGAAAAGCTTCAATGGCGTCCGTTGATCCAAGGTCTTCTACAGTCACCGAATCCGCGGAGTTACGATTGGGCCGGAATAGTATAAAAGGAGTCCAAGGTTGATCGTTCTTCATTATCAATCTCCCCGGAGCAATTCCGATCAGTACGGCTGGGTTTGGTTTTCCGGCCGGCAATGTTGGCATTCTTCGGCGGCGACGACAGAAATGCTTTCCTTCAGCAATTAATTCTTTGGGCGAGTGGAGTTGCTGACCGGAACTTGGCGAGATTCGGCACAAATTCAAGCAAATTTGGTGCAGGCTTCTCACGGCATAAGCACTCTCTATTTTCTTTTATTAATAACATCATCAGTATTCTTTATTAATTTGTTTTGTTTTCCCTTGTTTTTAATTCGTAGCTTTTTTTTTTTTTTTGCTTTAGTTTTCATTTCCCAAAATTGTGAGCATTGTTTTAATTCTTCATTCCCTTTACCCTCTAAAATATTTGATTTGTTTTGTGAATTAATTCCACCAAATCCCAACACGGCAATTGCTTTTCTTCTCTTCACTAGTTATTGTTATTTACTTAATTTCAATATTTTAGTCCTTGGCATCAATTTCCTATGACAATTTGGCATAATTAAAATTCTTTGCTCTTTTCTTTCCGTCAATGCTTTGTTTCTGTTATTATTATTCTGATTTTGCTGTTCAATCATTCTATTTGTTAATTGCTTTAGTTTACATCAATTCGGAAAGTTTAACTAATCTGCAAAGAAGTAATGGTAATTGATTTATGTTCCTACTCTTTATTTCCTGCTATTTTATTTCATAGTTATTCAATTATTTTTCTTGCCTTGCAATTTCATTTAGTTAATCCATTTTTATTGTCAATTCTGTTTCATCGGCTTCTGATTATTATATGTTCATGAGTTGCTTTCATTTAGTTTAATTTATTGCAATTGAAACTTTATTGTGAATTCCCTCTTTTAAGTAATTAATTAAATTGCATTGTATCAATTCCCGGTGGGATCGACTCTTGCTAAAGCACACGTGCGATGACATATATTAAAATTGTCCATCAATTTTTGCTAAAGTTTTTATATTTATTTGTCCATCAATTTTTATATTTAAAATTGTCCATCAATTTTTGCTAAAGCACACTAAAGTTTTATATTTATTTTAGTTGCTAAAGTTTTTAGTTTCTAGTCAATTGTTTTATGCATTCTTTGAGTTGAGATTAATTTTGCATTGATGAGGCAAATAAATTTGAAAGACTATTTGGGTAAAGTTTGATCTAATACTTGATTTTGTTTTTTTATTTCCTTTTTAATAGTGCCTTTGCTTGAGGACAAGCAAATAACTAAGTGTAGAAAATTTGATAAACACTATTTTTAATAGTGCCTTTGCATTTTTTTTTTAGTTCGATGGCCTAATTGCACTTTGGTGTGCAGTTGAGTGGCCTATTTGTTGCTACTAGACAATGGATTATTGCACTTATTTATGATGTTTTCTTAAAGCCTTTGAGTACCATATTACTAATTTTTGAACTTACTATTATTAGGGACATTAGTAGGAAGCCATCATTAATTGGATTTGTTCTTATGGTGAAACACTGCTAGTTTAATTCTTCAAACTCCAAATTCATGCTTGGTTGTTGCCTATTTTAGTTACTGAGTTTAGTGATACAACAAAATGCTTTGCTTAAGTGCCTCAGACTACGGAGGTGAATTGTTTATCATAAATATTCTCTGTTAATTTATTTAATTGGTTGGTAATATTAGACTTAAAATACAGAATTAGTAATGGTTTCTGATTTTTATTCCTAGGTTTTTCTTATCCCAAAAGGCTGAATCCCCAATCCTAAGGGCCCCCCACACTCCGACCCGACAGAGCATGTGGGAGGATGTAAATCATGGTGACTCAATGAGTTTCCCAGGCTTTTCTATCTTTATTGTTATTTGATCTCCTCGTTCCTAGCGATTCGTTTAATTATCTTCCTGAATTTTAATTTAATTAGTTTTGCATTTAATTTGATCGTTATTTGAACACTTTAAAATTGTTAAGTCAATTTAATTTCAAGCTATTAAATTGCACTGTATCAATTCCCTGTGGGATCGATCCTTGCCTTTGCACACTATTACTACAGTGATTCGTGCACTTGCGAGGACATATTACATTAATTAAAATTGTCCATCACCTAACGCCTCGTACAGTCGAATCAATCGTATCCTTATTGTCCAAAGAATACTTTAGACATTTATTTCATTGAGTAAAACAAAAGTAGGAGTACTCATTATGGGTAGTTTTTTTTTTTTTAAGTATGTGGCTGGAAAAAAAAAAAAAGATACAATTAGATACAAATCTTAAAATGTATGATTTATATATTAGTCTCAAAATCAATTAGATACAAATTATATTAGGAAAAGTATTAAAAGAAATGGCTTATAATTATAGTACATTAATGTTGAAATAAATTATTAATTAGTCTGCAAAAACCTAAAAAGAATGCACAAATTAAGATGCTCGTAGAGTAATTATATTAGTGAGGTTTTTTTATCATGTTTTTTTGTGAGCTCAACATCTATTATTTTACTCAATCTCAAAACCCTTCTTCCCATTAATTTTAGGTTTTTTTTTTCTAGTTTTTTATGGATACAACATTTAACTACAATATATTTTTATTATTTAAAATAAACATACATACATTTAATTGAAATGAAAACTATAAAATTAAAATTAAATTACTAATTGCTTAAAAATAAAATCAATTGTTTAAAAATTAAACTATAAAACTGTTTAAAAAATTAAAGTGAATAAAAAATAAAATAAAAATATTTAAACTAATAGGATAATATACAAATATAATAATTTTTTAATATGGTCGTTGCCAGTCGCAACATAACGAGAATTTTGGTAGTCGAAGATCAAATTGGTGAAATCCTCATAGTCAAGGGACCAAATCGGTAATTAACTCTAAAAATTATGTCCAAAATTAGGGATGACAACGGGACGGGGCGGGGGCAGGGAGTATACTCCCCGTCCCTGTCCTCGCTACCCCGACCCCGTCCCCGTCCCCAGCGGGGAATTGAAAAAATTCCCCGTCCCCATCCCCGCGGGGAATTTGGCAGGGACGGGGAATCCTCATCCCCGATCAATACATAGTTAAAATGTAAAATTAATATAATTTTTAAAAATTAAAAAGAAAAAAAATTGAAATTCATAAGTCATAATAACCTTATTTTAAAAACTATAATTTTTCCAGAATTAACGTAAAATCTAATAAAACTAATAATCTAATTCCTAATTCTAATATATAATATCTAATCTAATAAAACTAGTAATATAATCTAATTATTCCTAATCCTAATAAAACACAGTGTATATATATATATATATATATATATATATATATATATATATACTAATAAAACACAGTGTGCATATATGTATATATTTTATTTTTCAGGGGCGGGGCGGGGAGGGGTATCCCCGTCCCCGATCCCCGATATTTTACCCCGTCCCCGTAGGCATATATGTATATATTTTATTTTTAGGGGGCCGGGCGGGGAGGGGTAACCTCGTCCCCGTCCCCATCCCCACCGGAGAATTTCACAAATTTACCGTCCCCGATCCCCGATATTTTTTCCCGTCCCCGTAGGCATATATGTATATATTTTATTTTTCGGGGGCGGGGAGGGGTATCCCAGTCCCCGTCCCTATCCCCGCCGGGGAATTTCACAAATTTCCCATCCCCGTCCCCGTCCCCGATCCCCGTCCCCATCCCCTACGGGGACGGGGCACATTGCCATCCCTATCCAAAATGCTTTGCGGAGGGGTATTCTCGTCCCCGTCCCCATCCCCGCCGGGGAATTTCACAAATTCCCCGTCCCCGTCCTCGATCCCCGATATTTTTTCCCGTCCCCGTCCCCGTCCCCATCCCCTACGGGGACGGGAATCCCCGACGAGAACGGGACACATTGCCATCCCTATCCAAAATGCTTTGTAAGTTTGGTGTGGGGCCCACTAACCCCTATTACAACCCCCATAAAATGGTATTAAGAATTAAGATGGAAACATATATGTCCTGTTTGGTAAAATAGTTAGCTTATCAATTAATTTTGTCTTATTTAACCACTATTGGTTAATTAACTTTTTGTAACTTCAAAATGCTAAAATTCAAAAAGCTACTCAAAGTTTGTAAAAAAAAAAAAAAAAAAAAAATTACTCAAAGCAACTTTTTCAATTAGCTTTTTGAGAAAAGAAAGTATAACAAACAACTATCAGCTAATTTACCAAACACGTTTCTACAATTAGCTAATATTATCAATTAATTATACCCTCTAATTAACCAATCAGCTAACAACTAACAACCAACAGTCATTTACCAAACAGGGTCATCCGCACTTTGTATTGTGAAAATTTTATTCAAATACTCCGTACTAATTATTTGGATAGCACATAACACAACAATACAATACAATGGGCTTGATACTATATATGCAGATAGCGGCTAAAATCGTGAAGAGAATTCTGATTTCTAAGTTTTGTGAGTGCTCTACTTTCTACTCTTCTAATCCACTCTTTGCTAACACCAAAAAGCCTCCCAATCTCCTCAAGCGACTTGCGTGGAATATTTCCAAGACCAAACCTGAAGATCAATATCTGTCTCTCAATAGGCATCAAATCTTTGAGAAGTAAATACATTTTATTTACCATGGACTCTCTCATCACAGCTTCTTCTGGACAGATTGCTGATGTATCTGGGGTAAACTCCTGCCAAACAAGGGCTGCCTAGTCAATTTTTGCTGAATTTTCTTACATACATGCTTCTCATGAATCTTACATTATTGTTATTTCAAGCATGCCAATGACCTATGGCTAAGTTGGCTAAGGCCTACTAGCCTTATAAACCAATCCTTATACCATGGACCAGGGTTCTGGTGCATGTGTATGTGTCTTATATTGTGAGTTTTTGTATCTTGTGTTGTGAAATTCAGTACCTGAAACAAATTAGTAATTGTGTCTTATGTTATGAATTTCTATATCTTGTGTTGTGAAGTTCTGTGCCTATGAACACAAATTATGTACCTAAGTCAGATTTGAAAAATAAGTAAATATATAACATGTGTATTTGTTTTGTGTTGTGATTTTTTTGTTCTTGTGTTATAAAATTCTGTACTTTACGAGTATGAATTGTGTACCTCGTTGTTTCGATCCAGAGTCAATATAAATTGCCCTTATAAACCCATATGTTCTCACGGGCTTACGAAAGCACAACAAGGTGAACACAAATTAGGCCGAACAGGCTTTGATACTATGTTATAATAATCTAAGATTAGGCTAGGATCAATCAATTGAGCTACAATGCACATGGGTCAAACCACACTAAAATATTGAATCCAATCAATTAGCCTTATAAACCCATATGTTCTCTCTTATTTTATCAATGTGGGACTCTTAAAATGTACTAAAAGTGAAAAGAAAGATGTAAGGTTTTCAACCAAATTTTGAGGCCAATTTCCTGATATTTTTAGCTTTCTAACACCCTACAGGTCACAATGATCCGCATATCCCCAGTAACATATTGTGAGACAATTTTTTTTTTAAGGGAGAGAAAACAGAAATTCTGAGCCATACCATGAATTTGACACTGATACAGTCTCCAACTTTCTGATCAACTGAACCCACAACTCTCAGTCGGTTGTTGGCCAATGCAATTCTTTCCGTGGAAAGACCTGTGAACTCTGCAATTTCACTTTCACCTAGAAATTTTCCACGGGTGCTACTCAAAGCATTTCGAGCTTTTTGTATTTTATTTATTGATTTACGTAATTTGATCTGCAAGGAAAATCATGTTTCAGAGAATGAGACTAAGCTTTGTAATTCCACATGAACTGAGAAAGAGAGAAAACTCACAACGAAGAAAACCACATACAGGAATTCGAATCCCTCTAGCATGCTTTGCTACAGTTTTCGACATCGATCTCCTTATCCAATACTGGGCATAGGTTGAGAATTTGTATCCCCTCGTGTGGTCAAATCTTACAGCACCTTCTAGGACACCCATATTCCCTGCCTGTAGATGATATATGGTTGACATAAAATGAACAACACAAAGGGTGTGTTTCAAACATGGGAATCAAATACTTAGTAATTGGAATGGGTTTCAATGAAAGTATTTTGCATGTTTGGTAGTAGGCTGGAAATCAAAGCAATTGATCCTAATATGATGACCTCCAAAATACCAATATGAACAAAAAATCAAAACAATAATGTTGAATCATACTTGATTTAAATTAGGTAATGAGTTTTTTAATTATAGGGATAATCAAATCCTATACCTGTGTTTTTCAAAAAAAATCATATACCTATGTTTTAAAAAGTTGTCAACCAAACAATGTGTATGACTTTCATTCCCATTCCTTGTGTCTAAAACCCCATGAACCAAACACACCCTAAGTTTAGATCAGAGAGATTATTACAATACAAGACGTCAAGATTATTATGTGTTTGAAGAGTTTCCGAACTTCACAAATTCACGCTAAGTGAATTCCTGCATAATGATGGAAATTCTTGCATCGATTCTGATAATAGCTTACACTTGAATCTCAATAGGATAAATATTGAGGATTAAAAATTATTAGCTGTAACTTTTTAAAGAACTCTTACATAGAAAAAAAAATCCAATTAATTCAAGCTTGACTAACCTGGATTAGATCGTCAAATGCCACACCAAATCCCCTGTAGTTTCTGGCAAGATATATGATTAAGGACCTTGTACTTCTTAGAAGTTCATCCCTACAATACCAACCAAAATGTAAACGCTGCTGCAAGATCTTTTGGCTCAGACCAGCAGCTTTAGCCCAGGCACTTGAGCTAGCTACCCGGCCAGTTTCTTCTTCCAGTACTGATCTTAACCTCTCCAGTTCGGCAACCACCTGTATTATCACAAAGTATAACCATCAAAACCTGCTTTGAATCCAGAAAACTAGAGCAATTTTTTATTTTTTCAAAACTGGAAACAACCTTAATACCAATTGACATTTCTATTTCATTTTTAGCGATACTCTGACGTCTATTTCTAGAATTTCCTAATTTTTTTCCAGAAGATAACTTTGGCTGTCTTGGATCTTCGAATCTTTTTGGCAGTAGTTCTACTTTAACGCCTCTGGTATTCTTGGGTTGTCTCTTTCTCCTTGATTCCCTTTCTTGTCTTTTTCCAGAGGAAACAAAACTCTTATCCACATTAACATTCACAAGACCATCCTCCTGAATTTCTTCAACAAGCTCAATTGGCACATCGGTCAAATTGGAGGAAGTCGAAGATTTTAGTGTCCTCTCAAGACAGGTATGGAATAATTCTAGAGCTCCAATCCTTTCTAGTTGCACAAGAATATCTCTTTCCAGTCTAACGCCATCTGAGTCAGCAAAAATATGCTCCAGCATCTCAAGATTTTGCATCAGAAAACCAAAATGTTTTGCTTTGGATGATTCAAGGAATGGCAACTTATCCTCCTGCACTGACATATCAACATTGTTGCAGGTCCTGGTGTATAATCCACTTTGAGACCCTCTGCCAATTCCCATCTGTAAACATAAGATCAAACTTCAATTTTATAAACTGGGAGGATAATAACAGAGCAAATATGAAGAACTTTTGAGGCATTACTCTATGTCAAAGAAGATGAGAATAGAACCTTCACTTCGGTTAAAGAGTCGTCATTTTCACAGTGTTGTGCATCAGATAAGCAAGTCCACACCTTGAGAGGATCACTATGCGAAGCATCATTCTCCCCATTGATAAAAGATGGAGAAGTCCTTAATGAATTGTATAAAGTCTCCCTTCCCTTGACTATTTTAATTGAAATAAAAACAGATAATTAATTGAAAAAAAAAAAAAAAAGGAAGACAATTTTTAGATCAGCTTATAGCTAAATTTACTGCTTTGCAAGTTACACGGTTGTACATGGAAAATATGTCCATCAGAGCCAATGGTAGTTCTCACTACGTTAGGTCAGAAAAAATGGAAGGCAAGTTTTAAAGCTTTCATTATCTTTGTATATTTACACATCAACTGGAAATGGGAGTTGAGTCAGGGCTTCAGGCAACACTGAAAAGGCCGATTCTTTGTACATAATGCCACTTACAGAAAATAAAGGAGTAGCAGATAATCCAGATGATAGAAACATGTAGATGCATAAACTTGGTTAACTGACAGATGCTAATCCGACATTTTTCCATATGAATGAGGATTTACAACTATGTTTCTGTGATGTAAAGGGCATCTTGCCTAAACTTGGAATTAGAAGGTGAGTGAATTTCCATTTGCATCTACTGGGATATTATCTGACTATTACAAGGGAAGAATCAGTCAAGTGAAAACAACTAAGAAGAGAAATAACTCAATCCCCAGTTTACTAGAAGGTAACCACACAAAGTTAGGGAGAAATTACGGCCAAAAAGAGATGAATACAGTTGTATAAAGCTGCCAAAGAATCAGCTACAGACACTCTCTTTCAGTCATTCTTGTCTACTTACATACTAGCACTCTCAAATCTTAAGCTTAGTTTACTCTTTATAATAACTCACTTCTATTCAAAGGCTCTGCATCTATGAATTAATATAAACTTCATTTACAATCTTTTCCTCTTATTAATTTCGTATCATCAGCATCAAATTTATATAACTCAACTCTTTCCTTTGAGTGAAGGAAAATATTGGTTATGTGGATTTGGTGGGGTTACTGGGGTAAGTATGGTATCCTCTTTACACCCTTCCTAAGTTCTGATCTAATTGAATGCTATAGTGTCAGTTGAATGATGGACATTACACAACAAACAATGCTGTCAAAACATAACTATCAACGCTAAACACCTTGTGTTCTGATGGCATGACCGTTACTTTTCATAAGAAAGGTCCGAGGTTAGAATCCCAGTTCGGGTTGGCATAATTGTTGAACAGATACTATGAATAAATTAGAGTGGACAAAAAAAAAAAAAAAAAAAGAGAGAACTATCAACCAAAACCAACTGCAGCCATGTAACAACCTTACAACCTATGATATAAAAATGCAGATGAAGATAAACCTTGCCTCATCACTGAATTTGTCCAAATTTAGCACATTTTCCCCACCTCCCCAAGCACCCAACAAAACCCCCCTCTTTTTGGCACTTGTGAGTTCAACCTTTAGTCCAAAAACAATAAATTTATGCATTTAAACTAACAGCATTAACAAGGAACATAAATTTAGTGTGTTGATATAAAAACTCACATGAATTTGAAGAAAGCCAATACGATGATGACTTGGTGGAGAAAGGGGGCTGAACTGAGAGACCCCATTTCAGGGGCAGCCTAAACCCCATAACACAGGACCTTCGTTTGGGAGGCAAGAGAGCGGCAAATCAATGGTGCCCGTTAAAATTGGGTGCAAGAAAAAGGGGTTTGGAATTTGAGAGAGGAAAAGGTGCGTATGTGGATCGTTTCAGCTGCCAGCCACAGGTTCGCCATCTGAAAGGCAGTGGCCAGTGGGTCAAATTGTCAAGTGCCTAAAGTGGTCAGGGCCCAACCGTTCGTGAACCATCTTTGTGACTTCTGAGCACGTAGTTCGGTAAACGAAACAAGTTCGACTCTTAATGGCTCGGTCAATGGTTCTTCTACAGATTTTTCTTGTCAGTTTTTTTTTTTTTTTAAACAAAATTAAATATTTTCTAAAGTAAAAATAAAAAGGTACTACTTTAAAATTAAATAAAAATTCAAAAATATTAATAGTCTTGTGGTCTAGTGACACGAAGTGACTTTCTCATATGGGAGGTCATGAGTTATAGCCTCAATGTGGGCGGTAGGAAAATCGAATAGACAAGTGTACAGTATAGTTTTTCCGGACACATGTTAGGCTTCCTTCGTTTGGCTACACATGGTGGATTGCTAACAAGCATAAGGTTAGTCACACTATCTGTCCAAAGCGCACTGATCAAGGGTGACAAGACAAAACAGAATGACAAGTGTATCCCTCCTATAAGATGAATATGCGGTCGTAGGTTAAGTATTATTCCTGACCCTGACCGTACTGAGAGGCCAAGAGGGTGACACGTGTCTGACTTGGACACGTGTCACGTTACAGGGTTCCCTTGGGATACGAGCCTTAACATTTCAAATTCCCGCATGTGATTTGCTTATAAATAGGACAATTATGGTGGGTCATAATCACCTTGCACAAACCCAAGAATTAAAGGCTCTCGCACGTAATCAAAATTCTCCAACCGTTGGTCTACCATAATCACCAATAAGCTTCCTTCTCCACTACTTTTCTACATTCTTAATCATAACCTTATTAGCTCAGCTTTATTCTAAACACATCCCTCCATTTTATCTTTTCAAAAAAAGAAAATGTGATAGCCAAAACGCTATGGTGGCTAATTATGAGAATATTGAAGTCAATTTTAGATCATTTAGCGTCTCAACTAATGATTTTACGACATCCTCGGCCTCATACATTCGTTGTCTCATTGTCTCTACTTAGGTGTGGGTTTGTGGAAGTGGAACTGAGATGGCGGAACGAAATAGAAAACTTGTTCGAGCAAGGCGTGACTCGATTGTTAATCGCTAAGAGCCTTTCGCGCACACGAAGCCCCTGATCAACCCATTTTCACAATCGTTCAACCCTCCTCTTCTATCAACCCCTCGACCCTAGCTAGCGGTTATCATTGTTACCTCAATATAGGGGTGGTTGAAGGCTATCAACCCCTCCTCACGATAATGGATTTTGAAAACCTTTCCGACCTACTACGGGGGCGAGTAACTTATGACACCTGTCGCAGCCTAGGAAACAATATCAAGCGTCACCAAGAGAAGTGGATCAGTCTCCATGTAGATTCCTTAAAGGCTCCAATCCACTTCTCATTCTTCTCGTTCCTCGAAGCTTTCCTTTGCTATTACAAGGTATTGTAGGGGCAAATTGCACCGAACGCACATCACATGTTTGCCTACTTCTCGCAAATATGCACTTGTCATTAAGTGTTGTGCACTACTGAGCTATTCCATTTTCTCTCCAGTGTTCAGGAATTGTCATTGAAGTTCAATGAGGGTTTCTTGATAATCTAAGCTCACAAACCGACTTGCAGTATTCTTAGCCTTCCTAAGAATAATAACGGCTGGAAAAATCGTTTCGTCTCTGTACATTATGATTGGGCACTTCTCTTCCCCAATCTCTGGATGTCACAGTATAGGAGACATTATTATCATAATCCATCAACTCTTCCCTCAAGTCATTTTGAGGAAGTCATCTCCTTAAAATTCTATGAGTATTCGGATTTTTTTTATCTCTTGAGGCATACTGTGCTACGAACCTAGAGGATCCCAACTATGATCGGGAGGAAAAATATATTCCCAAACCAAAAGCACCTACTCCATCGGCCATTCTAGTTTAACTTTAATCGACCTTCAAGTTAGAGGTAAAATTAATATTGTCGTTTGTCTTTCCTTACAAGTCTGGGGTTTGATATGAATGTCCCACAAGTGAATGGAATAGAGTTTAGTTGAAAAACGAATTCAATGACAAATTATTGTAATCGTTTTTGGCAAGGCTTTCGAAGAAACTAGGTGTATATTAAACCTCACTCTCAATGACTTGCACACCAAAAAAACCAACAGTGTGTCTCCACCAATCTCTCTACAAGGTTGCAAACCACTATCATACGAAACCTTGGTTACACAAAGGCTTTGATGAAACTAGTTTTGGAGAGTCCTAGAAAACTAACAAGTACACACCATGTGCACGTAAAAGCCAAGTGATGAATCTCAGCGTTGCACTATGCTTACTTCCATGTGGTCACCCAACTGCTGTAAATCCTCAACCACGGAGTTGTTTAGCTATCTAGTTGTCAAATCCTACTTAAAACCAATTGGTAATAAGAGGGTGGGCATTAATCATTTAACCACATCCCTCCATGGTAAGCCACAACGACACGTCTTGAATCGAGCAAGGTCTGAACTCGCCCAACTCGGTCGATGCCCAACAATACCCCTCTTGTCGCAACCTTTGAACACCAAGACCAGTTACGCAGCATGCCTAACTTGGCCCTTAGCCTACATGCCCATCATCCCCCTCCTAAGACTAGACTTGGCCCGACCCACGCCCACATCCCATCTGGGACTAGACTCAGCTTTCGCCGTGGATCTCAACAATGCACTATACTTCCTAGTGGGTCACCCATCCTGTAACTGATATAAGTCAAACACGCTTAACCACAGAGTTCTTTGGCTATATCTAATTAACATATCCTACTTAAAACCAATTGGTGATAAAAAGGTGGACATTAACCATTTAACCACATCCTTCCATGATAAGCCATAACACCACACTTGGAATCTAGCAGGGGCTGAATTCGACAAACCTGGCCGATGCCCAACACCAAGATTTATTAATAATGGTCTAGGTCCCTCAATCTCGTTCACCCTTGCTCATATTTATTGATGGGATGGCCAAAATCCTTCCCTAATTTACAAGGAATAAAAATCATAATCAAACTATGAATATGAAGGTTTACTTGAATACAAAGCGATGTGCTTTTAGGAAACTAACTAAGAGATAAGATTAAACAATATAAGGATAAGTTATCTTGGATAATGTGGATCGAATTCCCCGTCTTAGGCTGCACTTGGGCTTCCTTGAATGACCCGCAAATCATTATTAAATTGTCTTCAAAGTTGGGTCAAATATAGAAATAATTAATTCCTTTTTGCCCATCATTTTAGTTTACTAAATTAAGCGTTCTTGAATTATCTTGTTCACTTAATTTAGCTTTCAGTCTTTATGAATTAAGGCATTCCAATCAACTTGTATTATCCTAGCATGAGCTGATGTGAGAGGTCTTCCACGTAAGTCCCCAAAGGATCTTGATCGTCAATTAGGCCTCCATTAGGGTTGGAAGATGCCTTTGAAGAGTCGACCACAAAGTCGGGTGGCCAGTCAGTTCTACCTAAGATTTCTCTATTGGGGGGGGGGGGGAGGGGGGGGACTTCCCGAGGCTCGCGGGAAAGAAAAAGCCAGTGATACCAAAATGGATCCCCACACAAAGAAGCCAAAAGTAACCTGTGGGAACACCCTGATCATAAACGCATTTTTTATCGAGGCCACTCAGGTTGCAGTTATGCTTGAAAGGCTGATGGAGGCCCCGAATTTACAATCAAGACCCTTTAGTCTTATGTATAGGACCTCTTACACGAGCTTAAGCTAGGAGACTACGAGCTTTTTGGAATGCCTTTATTTCAGAAAGATTTGGGAGCTAAATTTAAAGAACAAGATAATTCAAGAACACTTAATTTAGTAAACGAAAATGATGGGCAAAAAGGAATTAATTGTTTCTATATTTGACCCAACTTTGAAGACAATTTAATTAATGATTTGTGGGACATTCAAGAAAGTCCAAGTGTAGCTTAAGAGGAGGAGTTCGATCCACATTATCCAAGATAACTTTTTATTATGTTGTTTTACTCGTATCTCTTAGTTAGTTATTACTTATTTAGTTAGTTTCCTAAAAGCACATTACTTTGTATTCAAGTAAACCTTCATATTCATAGTTTGATTAGGATTTTTATTCCTTGTAAAGTAGGAAAGGAATTCCAACCATCCCCTAAATAAATATGACCAAGGGTGGATGAGATTAAGCACCTAGACCATTATTAATAAAGCTTGGCTTTTTCGTGCACTTGGTGTGTATTTGTGAGTTCTCTAGGGCCCTCTAAAACTAGTCTCATCAAAGCTTGTGTAATTGATGATCTATTTGAGAATAATGATTGTGGAAGTTACAAAAACTTCCTATAACCTTCTTCATTACTCTTGTCTTTAAGAAGATTTAAGAAGGGATGTCCATTAGTTTCCAACATGGAGTGTATTCTATTCTTGACTAAGTAACTACAGTACTTACGAGAGAATGTTTTTCTATAGACAAAAATTTCAAGTTATTACCTTGGTGAACTTTTCAAGAAAGCAAACCTAAAAAGTTTGATATTCTTCTTCTATCTCAAAAGCTCTATTTTGTTTACATTTGTTGCTTGCTAAGGAAAATCATAAACTTTATTATAGTGACCTGTCTCACGCCTGAAAATTGTGATCAAGCATTCCCTTATTTTTCTGTGTCTCGGGTTCTTTTACGAGACCCATGCATTCTTTTCTAACACAAAGAATATCTAATTAGTATTAGAGTTCTAGGAAAGGAAATTGAGAGCTAGAAAAACAAAAAGTATAGATATAAATTGATGCATCCCAGCCTACTGAAGATCCATTAAGAGTACCAATTGGACCAATCACAAGGTCCAAGTCCAAACAATTAAGACAACTCTTCATTGGTTATGTTCAAAGATGGTGGAAATCCAAGTCAAACCTAATTGCAAAAGATGAAGAAGAACTCAAGGCTTATTATAGGAGTTAATACCATCTGAGGTCCTTCGAGTATAGTGATTTTGCCACATTTAGTCCTAAACTTTCAAATTGGCCATTTGTGGTCCTTCGAATTTCAAATATAATCATTTGTGGTCCAAGTTAACCACCCATGGTCCTTTAACTATTAAATTTTAACCACCCATGGTCCTTTAACTATTA